TACATCCTTAAGGTGTGAGACTTGGTGTAAAGGAATGGAGATGTGTGTGTCACATAAGTTGCCCACTTTGGTGATATAAACCATATTCCAAGTTTGAGTTGAGGTGAGGTGAGGTGGGGCTGCTGGCTGCTATATAAGTAAAAATGGACAGTACAATACAAAGCATAGAATATGGATCCAATTAAGAGAGGGGCATGGGGGCCATGATGGGAACCCTAACTTTCTTCCCTTGTGAAAAGGGGCACTCATGTAATGTAATGGAATTGCACCACTCCATTCATATATCATCTTACAATTATGTTTGCTTTGCTCCTTTCTTTTCTTCTCTCCTATATATATACTTTCATCTTTGGACAAGGACCCCTCATAGGGCCCCACACACACACCCATATATATATATATATATATATATATATCTATAAATATAGGGCCCCACACTCACATATCACAACTCACTTGAGAAACTTGATGGGACCTAGAGCCTTGTCAAATTGGAATTTAAGATGCATGGCCCCAATTTAGCATTTCTTAATAAGCATGAAGCACAAGTCTAAAAAGGAGCCCACCCTAGTGAGTGAAAGCAGACCAAAATTACAAAGACTTAATAGATTTTGAGTGGAGGTTGATTATTTACTCTGTTCTTTTGATGCTGCAAAAGGAGATTGGTGAAAAAAGAACAAAACCTCAAATGTGTGACAGACAGACATGTCTTGATTTTACTATGCATGGGTAATGGGTTATATATTATCTTTTCAAATGGAGGGCTTAAAGATGAGATTCCAAAATCTCCCCCCAAAAAAAAAGAAGGCATAAACCAACCAGTGACCTAGAAATCATATCTTAACAATGAATTTTGTTTTCTTTTTCTTTTTTCTTTATGTGGGGAATTTCAATGACCTGCCATGAGTCTACTTTACAAGGTTGGATTTGGATTTGCGGTGTGATGGATGGAGTAAGTCTAAAGATAGAGACATTATTTATTGCAGATTTGAATCCAGAAAACCCCACTATGGATGATGAAGCAAATATGGAAAACACAAGTTAAAGAAGCAAGAAAAAAAGAGCAAAGGGAGGAGCAACAGTTAACACAAACTATTCTTTTTTCTCTGTGGATTTGACAGAAGATTGGTTGTCTGCAAGTGTAAACATCACCCTCTTCCACTAGCACATTATATCCATGTGCTAAAGTCCCAGTCTTTACTCTCTCTCTCACCCCCATTGATAGGTCCTTGTAGATTGTGGTTGCAAACCCAACCCTCCCATCTTGGGTAAAATCATTGTGTCTCTCTTTGCTCTCTCTCTCTCTCTCTCTCATTAGTGGGTACTTTGTCTAAAGTAGAATGAAATCCCTTGTTGTCTACATTAGGCACCACTCCAAAAGCTCTCACCAATAAAATGATTCATCATGTTTGGTTGATGTGAGTGGGCACACACCAAGAGAGAGAGAGAGAGAGAGGGATGAATTTTCTATATGAAAGGACATAATATTGCAGAGGATAGATGGGTTGGTTTGGACTAGGTGTTGGCTGAAAATATGTAAAGTGATTCTGCTGAAATGATCTCTATCATGAACTAAACAGAGATATGAATGTACTATGGTCTTTTTTCTTTCATCCTTCTTTTTCACCCACTTTTCTTTTTTTCTGTTCAAAAGTTGCACAATAGTGAAGTAGAGACATGAACTTGGAGTTGAAGGTGACATTACAAGAGAATCAGCTCTCACTTTGGACCAATAAGTGGAGGATATATTTAGGTATTGTCACCAATTTCGTAGTGCACAGTATCGACTTGTCGACAATTTTTGGGGTGCATGACATGCGGGTGATAATTGGGCCCATTGATCATGGAGCACAATACTTTCTCAGTGGAATTCAAACTCTAATTGGATTGATTATGAAACTGAAAAGAATTTGTATTCTTCCTTTTTACACCTAAATCCTAATCTTTGGACAAAACAAAAAGGCCAATTTAAATGGATATGGTAAATTTGCACTGAATGATTTCGAGGTGTAAGGATGTTCTGACTGTTAAGGATAAGTCTTATTGTTCAGGATTGATTGCCCAAGCTTAACTAACACCGTACATTTGAGTAGAGGATACCCTCTCATTTGGTATGAGATGAGCAATGTTAGAGACAGTCGGACATAAGTGGGCTAAATCTAATTATTGATGCGTGTAAGTATACAATGCATCAACGATTAAGATAATTCCACACCGGCGTTCACGATTCATGGCAGCATTCTTGGGTTTGGTAATTGCTTGTGCATCCAATAGTTGATGATTACAACTTACAAGTCAATAAATCCATTATTGAAACAAGAAGTACTAGTACGATAATAATGCCAATTAATGGTCAGCTGTCAAACCTTTTTTATGGGTTGGAAGCTGCCTTATTTTACAAAACAGAATGGGCCATAAGAAACAAACAGATCAAGACTGAGAGTTAGGATGTTTGGGCCAATTTTACTAGGCTCCACAATGAACCCTACTACTCCTACTAATCAAAAGAAGGAAAGAAAAAAAAGACCACATAATCAAATCTCGCTTTCCATATTCAAAATGAATGGATAGTGACTTCACAGGAAAGACATGCCCCACCAGGTCATCATATACCAAACGAAACATGCATGATGATCTCTGCATAATGCAATTCCCACACCAGTCGTAGTCGACACACAGATTATTATCAGGAAAATAAATATTCAAAACACTTTATGGTTGTTTTCATTTGATTTTTTTTGAATTGATGATGAGGAGGAAACAGCTACAAATAAATGCATTATAAAGAAAGGAGGAAAGTTTTTAAACTAAGCTTTCTCAATGTGTCGGCTGCACACTTTGTCTTACCTGATTTTGTTTAGTGATGCGTATGTACAGTAGAAAAAGTATATCATAACCGACCGGTCGTACGTACGTGTATACTAGGTATAAAGTGATTTGTTCTTGCGAGACTATTTAACATGACAGAAGTATAATGACCCAGTGCTGTAAATCATGCGCAGAGACTGAAGCACAGTTTTCTTGTGCACCAGCCAAAGGCATAAGTTGTGAACCAGTTTTTTAAAGCATCCACTTGAGTCTGTCAGTAACGTTAAAGCATATCAACTACAAAACATATACAAATTTTATATCTCACATAATTTTTTTGAGATTTTGGAGGAAACTTAATGGGTAGAGATAGATTGAACTGGTTTGACATAACTAGCTGTTCAATTAACTTTCCGCAACGTGCACAAGGGCGAGGAGGTGACACAGAATTTTTTCCTTATTTAATCTATGTTTAAGTTGTTGCTCAATCTCACTAGCTATATGGGAAGTATTTCTCCATCCAAGGGACAATTTTATAATGTTTTGATATGGAGTATGATTGTGTATTCCGTTTTTTGTTTTGTGTGCATGTGGTTTATTTATTAGGTTAGATTCATGGTCCATCAGTTGATAGTTATGTCACAAGGTGGTGCATTATGTTATAGATTTTGGTTCAATTTCACATCAATCATGGAGTTGTTATGTGATTACATTAGGTTGTTGGTTTGTGAGTTATATCTTGAGACTTTGAGGAACAGAAGAAGATGCATAATATATGAGTAAGATTCATAATGAATAGATTGTGTTAGGTTTAATGATTGAACATGTGTTCTACTCTGTTTTTCTGTTCTTCTTATTGTTAATGATGTATATTATTCTTACTAAAATCAAAGAGTTGAATTTTGTGTTATGAAATGAGTTTGTTTTTTTAATTTTCTATAATCAAAATGAAACTTCATTAGATAAACTTCTACGAAACAATAATTAAATGGGTTTCTGCATAACTAGAAGAAAAAAAAAGTGTCATGACAAAACAAATTCATTAAACTAAATGAGTAGTTCTTGCCATCTCCAATGCTAGAGGACTCAAAACTAAAATTTCTCCCTTCAAAATACAATTATTCAAGTATAGTTCGGACTCAAACAATTTTTTTTTTCCACCAACAGTGCACGACTCAAGATTTAAGTCCGTAGCTTTATTAAATTGTTTAAGAATAGTTTAATTCTAAAATTATTTTATGGTTAATTTTATTTATACCTTCGTGGTTTATTTATCCAAACATTTTAATTTTAAAAAGTTGAAATTCCACAATCATATTTTATTTCACTTAAAATGAAAGGAAGAAATTAATTTTGGTAAATTAATTAATAAATGGATGAATATTTATAAAATCTGAGATGAGTTTCGGGTTGGAAATGATTTAAATTAATTAATAATATTATAATAGTCGTTTGATTTAAATTTGGGCCATTGGATCGCAAACGGGCAGATAATCTCATCCTTACACGCAGTGTCTGCAAGCTTCCGCAGTGGTCTGCACGCTCTCTTCAGCTGCTTCACGTGGGCTGCATGACTCACTACCCTGGGCTTCACATTGTTTCAGTCCTACTGGAATCTCGGGCCAAATTCCGCCTGATCTTGGGCTTTGGGGAAAATTTGAACCCGCCTAATACACAAGTTTGAAGGTTTTCTTGGGCTAAAAACTCAAATTTTGGGTTTGGCCCTTACTCATTGGAGCCTTAGAACAGAACATATGACAAATTCTTTAGATATCTTAAAAAAAAAGATTGGGCAGTTGGAAACAGAAACCTGCATCTCTGCAAGTTGATTGGACCATCAGCCCATTGTTGATCTGGATATTGTAATTGCGAAAAATATTAGTAAACCTCATTAACTGCTACATCAAGTCCACTTGTATTGACCTTCGCAAGGACATTGTTAGAATCAAGAGATGATATTATCAAATCAAAATGACCAATGTTGGAGTTTAACTAGCACACACAGTCCAAAATGTTTTGTTTAACTAAAACTCCAGAGTCACTACACATAAACTTGTCTTCCCTTTGCACCTTAGAGATCTCTAACATGAAGCTTTCTGCTTGTTCTTTCAAATGGGGGAGATAAAGTGCATGAAAGTTGCAATGACAAATATCACAAAAAGAACCAAAACTTTACATTTTCAAGAAACAATCTATGGAGAATGCATGGTTTTACATGAATTGATCTCTCTCCTACCGCTAAGTGCTACAAATTTATCGTTAAACAACAAAAGGGGACATTTGTTTATCAAATTCAGCCCATCATAAGCTTCTTTAAGAAACACAGTGCTCCTTGCACCTTTATTAGTTATGTAAAATATGCCAGGATGCTTTATCAGACAGAGCAGCAATTTAGAGGGCAAGAAATACTCTGAGTGAAAAGCATCCAATTGAGCAGATGTCATCCTCTTCTGCATTGTCAAGCTGAGAAGCTCATGGAGCACCGCTACCACCCGCTTCCTGGCTTTCGGATCAGCAATGTCAAATCTCCTGGCATTCAAATAAGGGGAAGGGAAATCCATTTTCTGCCACCTTTCAAGTTGCTCAAGATAGCTAGTGTTTGGCCTAAAACCAGCAGGAAAACTCATTCTAAATGCATGGGGACCTAGAAAGTTACCATCTTTTGATATTCTAACCTTGTTTCCCAATCCAGAAGGAGCTGAAATCCCTTCACCACCTAATTGTTCCTCACGAGCTGTGACTGCTATTGAAGAATCCCAATTCTCCAAATGAAGATAAAGTTTGCCATTGAGTTCCTTGACCGAAAAAATTTCAGGGTACTTTGGAAGCAATGATTTCTTGAAATCATTCGGCAAACCCAATTCGGAATCAATGAATTCAATGTTTTCCAGAGGGACCCGGCAATCAACTGACAGCATTAACAGCTTCCTCAAGTTTTTAACCAAAATGGGTTCCATCAAATCCTTAGCTTCAGCTTCTTCTCTAGCAACTTTTTTAGCTTTTTCAGCGAGTGTAACAAAAGGGGGCGTTCTGTTACCACCACCAACATAGAAGATTGAAGGATATTTTTCTATGGCAGCCATGAAGTTCCATTTCTGAACAAACCCAACTTCTTTCTCGAGATCCCTGAGAAGGAGAGATTGGTGCTTTTGCGACTGAATAATAGATTTCAGCTGCAAAATCAAGGCCGGCTTTTTCTGAAAGTCCATGACTTTGTCAAGTTCATGGACTCTGTGGTAGACTTTCCTCTTGGGTCTTCTTCCTCCGCTGGATTTGTGCTTCACCGGGACCCACATGGAGGCTTTTCTGTGACATGGGATTGGAGATGACAATGCATGCGCTTGTGATTCACACGGAGGAGAGGTTTTCAGAAGTTGGTGAAAGCGCAGCATCGTGGTTTTCCTTTGCATTTTGCGAGAACAGGTTAGTCTCTGTGGCGCAAAACATCGAACAGTTGGCGTGCGAGCCTATAAGCAACGGTCAACCCAGAGAGACTGCTCCGCCTTTGTAGGAGGTGGAATGGTCATAGGATTCATATCATATCAGGCATGGCAGTGAACTGGGCCTTCAAAAAGTAAGCCCAGAGAAATATGTAGCTGCGTTTTTACATTTATGGTATATGCCCATAGCTATCACTACTATTTCGGTAGATAGGCCCATAGGCATCATTGCCTTGCAAATTGAAGATATAATTCCACACTTGTTTTTTTTCTTTCCTTCCTATCCTTTTATGCTTTTATTTATAGCTTATTATCACAAAACGTCCATAAGGTTTACGAAACTATCAGATTGCATCTTTAATGTTTTTTATTGTCATTTGTGGCCCTCAAGGTTAGTGTGCATGATCACAAATGATCTCTGCTGTTAGGATCCGTCAAAAAACTCCGTTAGTTTGTTGATATGGCATATATGTATATCACAAAACATCCTTGAGGTTCACAAACTTATCACAAATGGTTCTTAAGAAATTTTTTAATTTTTTAAATTTTAAATTCATAAAATTTTTGTTTTCTTTTTAAAATTTTATGAATTATAATTATTTAAAAAAATATATTAAATTTTAAATACATATGACACTATATTATTGTAGTTGTGGGCTCCATATATATGGCACATCAACAAACTAATGAAGTTTTTAAAAAATAATTTAAAATTCATAAAATTTAAAAATGAAAAAAACTAAAGGTTTAGGGTTCATAAATGGTCCTTAAGATTAAAATCCTTCTATAAATGGTTTTTTCATTTATAAATAATTTTAAAAAGAAAACCAGAATTTTATGAATTTTAAATAAAAAAATAAATTTTTTTTTTTGGTAGGGATCATTTGTGATAAGTGTGTAAACCTCAGGGATGTTTTGTGATATATATGTATGCCACGTCAGCAAACTAACAGAGTTTTTGATAGAATCTAACGGCATGGACTATTTGTGATTACACATACTAACCTTGAGGACCATAAGTGACAAAAAAAAACATTAAGGATGCAATCTGATAGTTTCGTAAACCTTAGGAACGTTTAGTGATAATAAGCCTTTATTTATATAGGGAGATCTTTAGTAACAGTACCATGGAAGTTTTACTAGTGACACCAACCAAACTAATCCTGTTGGATAATTAGTTCAAAACGGGGAATTAAACTCTACACACCAACAAGATTTAGCCGAGTAAAAAAGATCTTGACTTGCGGACGAGTCGTCTCAAGTTCGAATTTCATGTCAAAGAAAACATTTAGCTTAAAAGGAAGGGAAGGTTGGATGCACTTGCCTGTTGGCTATGGGTTAGCAGTGATAAACACATTTTTCATAAGCAGAAACTATCTACACAATTATTTGTAATTTTAAGAATTATAAATTTTTATTTTTGCTCATGTTATAAAATATTTTGAAGCCTAAAGTCACAAAATCGTTATTTTGACTATTTTATAGCGACGAAAACAGCTCCTTGAAGTTATGATCAAATAAAAGTGCGTATGTGTATGATGGCTATGATCAGATAAAGTAACTCTTATAAACCTAAGGCCATTCCAATAAATTCCTATGTCATTTTCAAGATTAGTTTGGGATTAGCTACTTACCCCGGGGAAGAACCCGCGTAAGGGATTCTGAGAAAGGAAGCTTGATAAAAAACGACCTTAGAGAGAACTCCAGGTCAGCTTCTTCCACCCTTGAGCCATAAGACTGATTCACAGTGAGCTTAAACATAAATCTTCCCACTGGGATGCTATCACTGTTAAAGAAAATAACTGCTACTCTCTCCACCAGACCCTAGTTTGTAAAATGTACGTCTGTTTTAGTTAAAATGGTACATCACCGGAATAAATACATTAAACGAATAAGAAAGACTGCATCTTTCTTAAAAAAATCAAAAAGAAAAAAGAAGAAAAAAAATCCAACCCGCCCAGCCGCCCAGACCCGCCTAGCGCCTAGGCAGCCGCCTAGGCGGAATTTTCGAACACATGAGATATATGAGAAATTTTTGAATAAACAAGAAAGGAAAAAGCAAAAGGAAATAAATGAGTAAAGGATCAACCTTTTGGATGAAAGGATGAAGTCCCGAGACAGCAGAATGGATATAATCCCTGAGTTCAGGGTGACGAGCGGTATGAACCACCAAATTCATATATTTCCTTCTTTCTAAAGCACCTTTGCCCAAAACCAACCATCAGTGAAAGCAGTTGAAAATGCAAAAACAACAATTACCCCTTATCCCGCTAAGCTCATATGCAATTTGAAAACTGGGTTTTGCTTTCTGGGTTCCCCCAATAGTGAAGAAAAACAGAACTCAAAACCACAACTTTTTTTCTCCGCAACCAAAACGAGAAATGGGTTTAGAACAAACCTGGAGGTAAATTCCTTTGAGGAAAACGATTGAAGTGATTGCCACCTCCAGGAATTCAATTTGAATTATACTCATCTAATAACCAAAAAACGAAGACGAAAACATACCAGAAGTAAAGAGGTTTTGAAACCTTGAGGAGAGTGATTATCTTTGCAAACTGTGTTGAATAATATTAAGGGGTATAGCCGTTACACTAAGACGAGAGAAGTCGGGATTTGTGGCCTACCCCACATTTGCCTTCTATGCGCCACGAGCATCGACAAACATCTCCTTTCAGTTTAGGATACATTAAAAATATTCTATTTATAGAGTATAGCCGCGCGGCTATACGTTTGGAAAATTCTATTCATAGAGTATCGCTGTTTGGCTATACGTCTGGAATATTCTAATTACATAGTATAGCCGGCTATACTATTTTCACAAAGACACTCTAGGCGCGTGTTTTTATTATTATTTATAAATGGTCCAGCCGGCCGACGGGCTTTACTGGGGTCCTTTTTTTAACAGAACTGAACGAAACCACGCTTGCAGGTAGCAGAACCAGTGTTCTTGCTGGTCCATTTCTTGGTAGCTGGGTCAAAGTAGTTCTCACCCCAGAGCCTTTCCATCATCTTTGATTCATCAACTCCAAACTTGGATGCATACATCTGTGCAAACCAGTGTATGATGGCTATGATCAAATAAAGTAACTCTTATAAATAAATCTAAGGTCATTCCAATAAATTCCTATGTCATTTTCAAGATTAGTTTGGGATTAGCTAGGCAAACAAATTCTTGTACTAGTTAGCAAAACGGGCACGTATGGTTCAAGGGATACCTCAACATGCAAGTTGTAATTGTAAATGAAATGTTAAGAGTGAAATTTTAATCAGCATTCATATTGAGAGTGTGATGCTCTACCAAGCATATTTTTTATGATTAAACGACCTCCAAATCATGCGTGAGGCATATTTTTCTTGCACTGGCCAAAGGCATATGTTCTCAACCAATTTTTAAAAGCAACTACATGAGTCTATTCTAAACATGAAACACATCAACAAGTACAAAATATACGATGGTATTTCAGAAAAATAATTACAATCGAAATTGAGATCGTGGAGGAAACTAAAATGTCATTTATTTTAGTTACCACTATTAATCTGTTTATTGAATTCTATCATGTGTTTGATAATTACTTTTTAGTGGCAATGATGTGGATAGATGAGAATGCATTCATGGCCTAGTTCACGGAACAAACTAATATGTATGAGGAAAATAATGTAATTATTGGGTTAGTGGTAAAAAGAGTTGATGTTGCAAATTTTCTCATGGAGGTTTCTTTCCACTGTAGTTTGCTCTCCGGCATCCAACCAATGTGACATGGGCTAGGAGGGCTTCATGGAAGATATCTCTTACATAATTGGCTTCGTATATTCATATTCCCCAATAATGTCAAGGGCTTCTTTTGCAACTAACAAAAAAGATCAAGTTTTCAAGCATCTATTTATCATATGATAGTAAGGATTGCATCAACAGTTCTGATAATGTAGGTGTGATCATACTATGACATCTCTTATTACAATCCGCTCATGTTATAATAAAGTGTTTTATTTATTAATACTTTACCTGTTAAATATAAAATGATTGCCCATTCATATAAGGACGCGTGAATTGACGTCACACTCAAGAATATTTCGTTAAGTATAGTTAAGGGAAATGAGGTCCCACCACCTAAGTTATCAATGGAGAAGTGCTTAGGGACACCAATGTTGAATTGGTTCAAATTTGGGTCACTTTTAGATCATACTTATTAACAACAAATAATCATGTTAGTGAACAAATTTAGTGAATCTAGCATTATTGTTATTAATGAAAGGAGGTGTCATATATAAAAAATAATTAATAATGTGAATTTATAAATAAACCCAATCCTAGACATGTATTTATAAAAAAACCCAAGCACTATTTAAACATAGAAACACACTCAAAATCAACCCAAAAATCAACAATTGTATATTTTTTGGGTGTGTTTATAAATGAGTTTTGAGTGTGTGTAATGATGAGTTTTAGGTGTGTTTATAAAGTGTTTTGGGTGTTGGGTTTTTTTATAATTTCAGCCCCCATTTTGGGTGTTTTAGTGAAACTCCCTTAATTTTTACCTAACCATAATGCAAATGAGGAAAAATTGTCACGCAGACCGTCAAAGAACACATTTACCTCAAACATTACCCTTCCCAGTCCAGCTAAACTTTGTACGAGAATTTCATAATAGTTTAAATTGATGGCCCCAAAATGCAAACATCTCCACTTAGCCTCGTTGACTGATAGTCATGCAAATGAATTATTACAATGGAAATTTTATCAGCATTCATATTGAGAGTGTGGTGCTTCACCAAGCTTCCTTTTCGTGATTAGATGAGGATCAAATCATGCACCAGCCACAATTTCCTTGCAATAGCCCAAGGCATGTGTTGTGAACCAACTTTTTAAAAGCATCTACATGGGTGTTCGAATTTATTCTAAACTTTGAAGCATATGAAGAACAAAATTTATACGATATTTGACATTGAGAAAATCAATGCAATTCAAATTGAGACTCTGGAGGAAACTAAATGGTAAGGGATATGTTTAATATAGGATTACTATGTAAGTGATGTAACTTTTGAATGAACTTCTGTCTATAGGTTATGGGTTAGCAGTGATTAGGAGTAATAAGGAAAAAGCTTTCAGACCTATTTTCTCTTGTTTAGCTTTTACATAGATATTGTCACCTTGATTTTACCGTAGAGCACTTGAGGATATTTTGCTCTCACTCGGGATGTATTTTGTTGTGGTTTTTAGTTGTAAATTGGCTTTCTCAGTTGCTCTATGACGTTCTAGTTGTAAATTCCTTCAATAATCCCCATATCCACACAACATTTGAGGATTCTTTTTTCTCACCCAACATGTCTTTTGTTATGGGTTTTAGCTGTAAATTCGCTTCCTCAATCGCTCTGACGTGCTAGTTATTCCTTCAACAATCCCCATAATGACTCTCCATGTTATAAAATTTTCAAAATCCTGTGACAAATTTCTTTAGTGAATTGGAAATTGCCATTGAAGTCTAAAGAAGAAAATAGAGTATGAAAGATAGAGCATGGAAATCTTAAATCCAATTCCTAGCAATAATTGAAAAGAAGGGTCCGAAGTCAATTCTTAACATCTTGAAAAGAGAAAAAAAACTAAATTATTAAACTTAGGTTTCTTGATCGTTTTGATCAAAATAAAAAAAGAAAAAGGAAAATCCAACATATTGAAAGTCATTTGGAAATAACAATCGAAGATATTGAAAGTAGACAAATTACTGATCCACTAAAAATGTTTAAACTAATCCTGAGTATATGAAATATGCTAAAATCTAAACGAAGAAAGTAAAACCAAATGAAGTAATGCAATTATAAAAAAAGCCATGACCAATCGATGTGATAGTATTTCAGTTGTTGTCCAAAAATTGGTGTAAGATGTTTGTGGCAAATTTTGTTGGATATGGTCTTTTGAATATTTGACGGGTTTGCCAATTTAGCATTTTATTTTTATTTTAAAGATATTATTATTACTAAAATTACCCTAATAGATTCTTACCTCAGATTATGATACTTTAATTTTTTTGAAAATCAGTACACCATCTTCCACTGTGTGTCGCCTCATTTATTGCTTTCTTAAGCCAATCAATTTATTTCTTTACATAGACACCGTGATTTTTTATATTTATTATTTAGAATTGTTTTTCCTCGATTTTTGTTTATCGATAAGAGTAGTTTAGAGCATTATCAATTACTCGAGTCCCTATTGTCCCATTTTGAGTTTTTTATTTTTCAGAGTTATTACCCATATAATGAATTTAGCATTTTCACGTTTAATATTCATATTTTTCATGTTTAATACACTTATTTTTTACAAAATTTTCAATAATACACACAAAATTCAAATATTATACACAAAATACTCACATATTATTGAATAAAAATATTTAAATACTAATTATTCACTAAGAAAATAATAATTAAAACATAACTACTAATTAAAGTAATTAAACAAGAGAAATTCAGAGTGCTATTCAATGGGAATAGCCGAGCGGCTATGCATAAAACAAAATTCTATTTATATAGTATAGCCGCGCGGCTATACGTTTGAAATATTCTATTTGCAGGGTATCGCCACTGGGCTATACTCTTTTCACAAAAACGCTCTAGGCGCGAGGGTCTTCTTTTATAAATAGTATAGCCGCTGGCTATACTTTTTTTTTTTTTTTTTTTTTTTTTTTTTTTTTTAAAAATAAAAGAAGAGCCTTTCGGTTTTACTGGGGTCTTTTTTTAAATTCTTTTTTTATCATTCGTATAGCCGCTCGGCTATACGCCGGATTTTTTTAATTAAAAACTGTATAGCCGCGGCCTTACTGGGTTCTTTTTTATTTATTATATCTATTTTTTATAAATAGTATAGCCGGGCGGCTAAACTCTTCACATAGACAATGATCTTTTTTAGATAATTGTTTTTCCCCGATTTTTGTTTATCGATAAAAGTAGTTTAGAGCATTATCCATTATTATTAGGCCATTACCTAAGTCTTTGTTGTCCCCTTTTGAGTTTTTACTTTTCCATAGTTATTACCCGTATAAAGAATTTAGCATCAACAAATGAAGAAGATATTTCAACAACTAGAACGACTTAAACCCACACAAGCTGTGCAAATTCATTTTGAACTCATATTCCAACATAAAGGAACATTCATTTCTTTCACAAAGCATGATAATGGTTAAAATGTTGATAAACTAATGCTGAGTAGCTCAAATGTGGTAAAAACCCTTTTGAATTGATGTTTCCCTGGACTTGGGAGAGTACAAACAACAATCCCTTCAAGTAAAAGGAAAAGAGATTTAGCTATCAGAAAAGTAATTTTGTTATCTCATAATATACTGTAAATTGTAATGTCATAAGTTAATCATCGCCAGCTTTCTCTAAAGTGTTGTGCTTATGCTTTACCCTTCATCTTCCACAAAATTTCTACCTTTGTAGCCTGTAATCTCATTCTAATTGGATGACAACTTTATGATACTAGGCACTGGATTATTGTGGTTTATACACCAAAATGCAGAAAGCGAGCGGAATTTACTTCATGAGCAGTATGTTTATGGGACAGTGTCATGTAAAATCAAGGCAGATATTCATTTGCTTAATTCCCTTTAAGCCTTTGGTTCAGATAAACCTGGATGTTCCAAATATAACTGCACAGATAGAGGTTCGCTACTCATCGATTTAATAGGGGTTATCAATGGAGGCTGTTGCCATTGCTGTGTGTCTGTTGGAATCCATAACTCTGCATCCTTACTTGTACTTGCCTGAGGAAGGGATCGAAAGTACGATGTTATCTCCCACCTGCAATCTGTTATACAGGAAAAGCTTACACACCTAGCAGCAATATCGAAAGGAAAGCAGACATGAAAATCCAAACCATATTTCATGAGCTCAACAACCACCCAAGCATATGGTCAATACTCAACCAACTAAACCAAAGCATTTGATAGAAAGTAGAAATTTTAAAGCGAAAACCAAACGCAACTACATCATTGAAAAAGAATTATATCAAATAGTATTCTAAGACGAAACTACCAACACTGAAGCAAAAAAAGATGAACATCAATGTACAGTTGTCAACTATGAAACTTAAAACTTACCCTGGGGAAGAACCCGTGTAAGGGATTCTGAGAAAGGAAGCTTGATAAAAAACGACCTTAGTGAGAACTCCAGGTCAGCTTCTTCCACCCTTGAGCCATAAGACTGATTCACAGTGAGCTTAAACATAAATCTTTCCACAGGGATGCTATCACTGTTAAAGAAAATAACTGCTACTCTTTCCACCAGACCCTAGTTTGTAAAATGTACGTCCGTTTTAGTGAAAATGGTACATCACCGGAATAAATACATTAAACGAATAAGAAAGACTGCATCTTTCTTAAAAAATTCAAAACAAAAAAGAAAACAAAAATCCAACCCGCCCAGCCGCCCAGACCCGCATAGCGCCTAGGCGGCTGCCTAGGCCGAATTTTCGAACACATGAGATATATGAGAAATTTTTGAAGAAACAAGAAAGAAAAAAGTAGAAGGAAATAAATGAGTAAAGGATCAACCTTTTGGATGAAAGGATGAAGTCCCGAGACAGCAGAATGGATATAATCCCTGAGTTGAGGGTGACGAGCGCTATGAACCACCAAATTCATATATTTCCTTCTTTCAAAAGCACCTTTGCCCAAAACCAACCATCAGTGAAAGCAGTTGAAAATGTAAAAACAACAATTACTCATTATCCCGCTAAGCTCATATGCAATTTGAAAACTGGGTTTTGCTTTCTGGGTTCCCCAGATAATGAAGAAAAACATAAGTCAAAGCCACAACTTTTTTTCTCAGCAACCAAAAACAGAAATGGGTTTAGAACAAACCTGGAGGGTAAATTCCTTTGAGGAAAACGATTGAAGTGATTGCCACCTCCAGGAATTCAACCAGAATCCGAGCTGTCTCACCTGCACCATTTTCAATTTGAATTATACTCATCTAATAACCAGAAAATGAAAACGAAAACATTCCAGAAGTATAGAGGTCATTGGAAACCTTGAGGAGATTGATTGTCTTTGCGGTCCATCTCTACAGTTTGGAAGTGCGGTAACTTGGAGTTTTGGTTTGGGAATTTGAAAGGCTTGGAAGTTGTAAAGTGTGTTGAATAATATTAAGGCCCGTAGCCCGCTATTTGGCGGGCCTGACAGAGAGCCCATGGAGACCCGCCTCATCTTTTTAAATAATAATAATAATAATAATTAATTATTATTTTAATTTTAATTTTAATTAATTAATTAATAATTTTTATTTATTTAAAACAAATATTAATGGGGGGAGCGAGGCAGTCCAATTTGCCATCTCTTGGGATACTTGGAAGAGAAATAGAAGTACAACTAGATCAATAGTTAGTTAAATTGATGACTTCAGTATTTCTTTTAATACAAGCGATACTCTAAATTACAAGAGATAGTTAATTGTTAGTCTAGCATGATATAGTAGACTAGTCCGAATTATAAACCCAACTTAAGTTTATATTAGCATTGTGCTCCTTCAGAAAACGGACTAAAGAAATCTATAAAAGGATAATTGTAATTTATAGGCTTAAATTTTTGAGTCTTTATGATGAGGAGTAAAATGACAGGTATAAAGCTGCTTAAAGAGGGAAGGGCAAGGAAAGGGATGTGAGTCAAAGTAGGATTCCCCAAGAGTTCTGTGTGGCACCAACTAGCAATTAAGCACTCATCTATTCGATAACAAGCAAAATCATCCTAGTAGAAAATCGGAAGCCTACAATTTGCAAAGTTGGTTCATCTGCAACTTTGAGCAACTAAAGCAAACATGTTGATCCGAAATCAAAAGCCGATTGTCATGTAAGAAGCATTCCCTAATCAGGAGGCAGAAATGTAGAAAAATTTGTTTACAGATATGGTAATAAAATAAACAAAAGGAACATAGATATAAAAGTAAGAAGAGAAAGTACGATATATATCATAACCCATGTAGAAAACAAAGTAAGAAGTTGACGAAAAGGAACATCATAACAGAAAAGATGAAGCTACAAGTCCCTAACAGTAACCAGAGGACAGAAAACCAAACAAATTAAAACAGTTAAAGACCAAAAATATTGTGGGGCAATCTCCTCAGGCCAATTGGCAGGACAAAAAACTAATAGCATAGTAAATTGTTTAAAGCTTATCCTCAAACTCGGATAGCGGGGTCATTTGCTCCTTCAAGCCCTTCCTCTTGCGGATATCTGTAACAAGCTGCGCAGCCTGGGATCCAACTTCCAATGGATCAGACGACATCATCTCCCAATGATCAAACACACATTGTGGGAAAGCCTGGCCTGAAGTCGCAGCCCTCAACTGACCGGAGAACCCGAAAGACTCAATGACAGGGAGGTAGGCCTTGATGTTGTAAAGTGGGGTACCAGGCCTCTGAATTTCCTCAAACACATGCCCACGTTTCTGATTAAGAACACTGTAGATACCACCAAGAGCCTGCTCTGGAGCTTGGATTTCAACAAGATATACAGGTTCAAGGAGCCTTGGCTTGGCAGTGAGCTGGGAAGCATAGATGACCCTCCTAGCAGTAGGAATGACCTGACCACCTCCTCTGTGGATGGCATCAGCATGAAGAACCACATCACAGACTTCAAAGCAAATACCCCTCATGTTTTCTTCTGCCAATGCACCTTCCTTTGAAGCCCACTGGAAACCAGCAACAACAGAGTCCTTAATTTCATTCAGGTACTGAACTCCCTTACACATATCCACCACCATGTTAGGACCGGTGGTCTCTGGGCCAAAACACCAGATTTTCTTAGCGAGATCCTTGTCCCAACCAAACTCTTCAGCCAAGATCTTGGAACGAATTTTGGGATCATCTCTTGGGCCAATACGGCCATCATCAATGGCCTCAGGAAGACCTTCCTCCAAGGGTCGAGCTTCCATATACAGACGGTTATGCTTGTTGGGTGACTTGCTCATCACAGTACGACTAGACTTCTCCAGGACAGTCTCACGGAAAGACACAACAGGGTCAGATTTTATAATCTCAGCTCCACCCATGAAATCATCTTGTAGATCCTTCAAACAAATCTCAAGATGGAGTTCACCAGCACCAGCAATAATGTGCTCACCGGATTCCTCAATGGAACAGACAACCATAGGATCAGACTTGGCCAGACGTTTGAGACCTTCAACCAGTTTGGGAAGGTCAGAAGCCACCTTGCATTGAACAGCAACACGCACAACAGGTGAAACAGAGAACTTCATAGCACGAATGGGGTGAGCATCCACTTCCTTCTCGTTTGTCAATGTAGCATTCTTGGTGATAAACTGATCAAGACCCACCAAGGCAACAGTGTTACCACAAGGAACATCCTCAACAGTTTCTTGTTTCTTTCCCATCCAAATAACAGTCCTCTGCACGTTCTTAACATACAAATCCTTCTTCTCTCCAGGAACAAAATTTGGACCCATGATTCTAACCTTCAAACCTGTCTGGACTTTACCAGCAAAGACACGACCAAACGCAAAGAATCGACCCTTGTCAGATGCGGGAATCATCTTAGATACATAGAGCATAAGAGGCCCTTCGGGATCACAGTTCCTGATAGCATTTGCATATTGATCATCAAGGGGACCCTCGTACAAGTTCTCAACACGGTATCTCTGGGCAGTTGAAGGAGAGGGAAGGTGAAAGATCATCATTTCCAATAGGGCACTGCTGGCTGGTAGCCAGGTCTGCATGACACGCTTCATCAACGCCTTCCCCATCAGCTCCTTTTCATCACTCTTCATTGTGACACCAAGCTTTGTCAACATGGGCCACAACTTGTCCTTCTGATCATTCATGCAGATGTTGATAATCTGCTTGATGGGTTCATAACAGAACTGAACGAAACCACGCTTGCAGGTAGCAGAACCAGTGTTCTTGCTGGTCCATTTCTTGGTAGCTGGGTCAAAGTAGTTCTCACCCCAGAGCCTTTCCATCATCTTTGATTCATCAACTCCAAACTTGGACGCATACATCTTGGCAAAGTTGGTCAGAGTAAAAGCCCATCCATGCAAACCAGCTGAAAAGGCGACTGTTCCTTTCTCTGGATAGACCTGGACATCACCAAGAAGGGGGTCTTCGTATGTAGCCATAATGACATTAGCATTCTCAATAACCCTCTGGAATGCTTGGTAAGCTTCCTCTCCATCGACCTGGAGCTCAAGGAAGCACCTGTCCATCTTGTTAACAGTCAAAACAGGCCTGATCCTTTCTCCCAAGGCTTGACGAAGCACAGTCTCTGTTTGGACACAAACACCCTCAATGCAATCAACCACCACAAGTGCACCATCAGTAATACGAAGAGCAGCTGTGACTTCAGATGAAAAGTCAACGTGCCCAGGGGAATCAATGAGATTGATGAGGTACTCATTTCCGTTTCTCTCCCCCTTGTAGCTCTTCAAAGCTTCATCAGTCATCTCATAGTAGAGAGAGATACCAGTAGATTTGATTGTGATACCACGCTCTGCCTCATCTGCACGTGTATCTGTCATCCGGACATCACCAGCAACTTCTTGTGCAATGATACCAGCAGCAGCAACAAGAGAGTCGGTAAGGGTTGACTTCCCTGCATATTAAAATTCAGTACCATTACAGCCATGAAAAACACACAGGACATTGAAACATGAACAAGAATGTAATGCAAATTTGAAAGCAAAAGGACAATTATACATTTGAGCAGGGGATAATCAACCAGATACAAGAAAGCAGCTCAAATTAACTCAAACAGAACACTATTAAGCACTCCATTATGAGCAGGCGAGTGAAATTAATGTTACAAATTTAAGAATTATCAAGTGAAAAAAGTTATCGATACCATGATCAACATGTGCAATAACGGACATATTGCGAATGTTATGCTTGTAGTCCATAATCCTACGGAGTTCCTCTGCTGTAAACTTCACCTGCACATATCAATAATATCTCTCCATTAAGAATTACGAAATTAACAGAGCAGCCCAACAACCAGTAAGCTTAGATTGATAGATTACACTTACCATCTTGACTAGTATTTAAGAGAAACCACCAATTTGTAATTATAAGGAGGTGAACCACCTGAAAATTAAAACCATAAAGATAATGAACCGAGGGTTCAATTGAACATTCAAGCAAAAAATTCAAGTAAATATCTATGAATACCCTCTACTTTGATAACTATTACTGTATCAAATATAATAATTTTATTAAAAATCCTGATAAAAGATTTCAATCAGAAAAAATAATCACACATGGTATTGTCTTCTCTGCATGGCCTCGCATGTTTGGATGTGTGAAGGTATTCAAGAGGGAAAAACAAGCAATATAAAACATATACCAATGGGAAAACAAGCAATTAGCCATATTCAAACTACAGTAGATAGAAATTTTCTCTCTTCGAATTGTGTTAAATTATTTCATAGCATTTAGAAAAATATTTGCCAGGAAATATAAAATGAAACGATATAATGGAAAACATAACATTTATTCATAAACACAGAGGAAAATCTCATATGGTCATGTAATGATTTTTCACAGTAGCAAGGAAACATCAGAAATTTTTTCCAAATCGAAAAATTTGTAGGTGTAACTATTTTGCAGTAAAAAAAAACAGAGTGTTAGAGCGATCAGTGTATAAACTGAGGATATAGATGATACAACAAATCTACTCAGGAAAACGAACGATATTCCAATACATCACGTAAAAAACTCCAACCGTCCGAAGAAAACGCCAGAAAATCTTTCCACCAAGAAATTTTTTCACGTAACAATTTTCCGATGAAACAAACAGCGCCTTACAGTGATCAAAACAAGAAACAAGGATCTAATACAAATCTGTGAACAATCTAACATCAAAAGCATGCATATACAACGAGAATTTTCAACAAAAATATAAAATAATAATAAAATCCATGCAGATCAACCATTTTCATAAGAAATAAAAAGCATAGCTACAGATACCAGAAAACAGAAGAATAATCTGAGATATAAAATTAAAGGCAGGCACTGAATTGAATAAAACAAAGAGGATATACGAACGAACCTCAAGAAGAATCGCGGTAGAGAGAGAGGAATTCTCCGCAGCCTATAAAAGAGAATGAGACTAAGAGAGAATTTGTGGGTTCCGAAGGGAGTGTGTGAGTGTTATATAAGGTTAGGGTTTTTCGTCTCATGGGTTGGGCTCGGCTGTGCCATTTTCTAGTCTCTCGTGGCCCATCATTCTCTACTTCAGCCTCTCTCTCTCTTTTTTTCTTTTTTTTTTCCTATATAAATTTAAGCCTATATTTTATGACCCCACCCAAAAAAAAACCCTAGATTGAGGAATTTCGTTTGATCACCCAAGATTGTTCTTTGGAAACCCAACCCCAAACTTTGGTGTTCCCTATGTGAATTAGTTTTGCAACAAGTATGAGAGTGTTTGTTTCTTTAATATTTCTCAAATATACAATTTATATGCAATTTCGATATATTTTTTGAGAGACTAGTGTTGTTGATGATGCTTTGCTTTAGCTGATTTGGGTCATTCAAGTTCTAATTATCATATTTGGGACCACCATTCTTCCTCCACGTGTAGCGCATGCTTCTAATTTTGACATATGGGATAAGTTTGGTTGGAATATGTAGGAGTAATTTAGGAAACAAAAATATTGTATTGGGTTTGACATATGGGGTAAGTTTGGTTGGAATATGTAGGAGTAATTTAGGAAACAAAAATATTGTATTGGGTTCTGGCCATACACTCCAGAACGTGACTCCATCACATTACATGTAATAAAAAGGATGGCGATTTTCACTCCCATTTTCTCTTCCTACACTACTCCCAGCTTTGGAGCATATAAGGCTAACCATATTCATACAGCATGCATCAAATGCTTCCACCATTCAGTACCATTTCTTCTTTGGTCAACATCCAAAAAGTTTCAGTTACGGACGGAAAATGCAATGCCGCGTTAAGCAAAATCAAAGGCCAAATGCTCCAGAACTTGCAAATAAAACAAGGCCAATACAGTTATTTACTATCTAAAAGTTCCAGCGGTGCTCCAAAATCACAAAGCAATCAAATTTTACTTGATGCTGCTACACAAGAATCCCGACAGAAAATTGAAAAAGCAAATCAAGCCAACTCCTACAGCAAGACTGGTCTTAAGTAAGCCACCCTGTCCGGCCACTCGGCACGCCAAGGTGGTCAGAGACTGCCACCAATGTTTTTCCCTGTATCACAACAGAAGAATTAGGTTCAAAAGTAGGCATCAGCCTGCTTTCCTACATCTATTATTGAAATAAGAAGCTGTAGCAAACACACAGAACAGTCAAGTTGTGCAAGAACAAGCTATCCAATCCACGAAACAAATCACAAAAACGGGTGTATAGTAAATTCAAAAATAGCATGTACCAGCAATGGCAGAAATGGTTCCATAAGCAACAAAGTAAGAACATAACATTACATAATCTTCTGAGCACGCACAAAACGTTAATACTGGGCCACTGGCACAGGATGCTGACTACAACAACAGGGTTGGTACAAACATTAAACGAAAACAAAAAACTGAAAACAAAAAATAGGCAGTGCAATGGAACTACTGTCTCAAAGTAACTCAGTCATCCAATTGTTCGATATAATCAAAGAAATTACTCAGAGTTTGTCCTCAAACTCGGATAGTGGGGTCATTTGCTCCTTCAAACCCTTCCTCTTACGGATATCTGTAACAAGCTGTGAAGCCTGGGATCCAGCTTCCAATGGATCAGACGACATCATCTCCCAATGATCAAACACACATTGTGGGAAGGCCTGCCCTGAAGTTGAAGCCCTCAGTTGACCAGAGAACCCAAAAGATTCAATGACGGGGAGGTATGCCTTGATATTGTAGAGTGGAGTACCAGGCCTCTGCATTTCCTCAAACACATGCCCACGTTTCTGATTAAGAACACTGTAGATACCACCAAGAGCCTGCTCTGGAGCTTGGATTTCAACAAGATATACAGGTTCAAGGAGCCTTGGCTTGGCAGTGAGCTGGGAAGCATAGATGACCCTCCTAGCAGTAGGAATGACCTGACCACCTCCTCTGTGGATGGCATCAGCATGAAGAACCACATCACAAACTTCAAAGCAAATACCCCTCATGTTTTCTTCTGCCAATGCACCTTCCTTTGAAGCCCACTGGAAACCAGCAACAACAGAGTCCTTAATTTCATTCAGGTACTGAACTCCCTTACACATATCCACCACCATGTTAGGACCGGTGGTCTCTGGGCCAAAACACCAGATTTTCTTAGCGAGATCCTTGTCCCAACCAAACTCTTCAGCCAAGATCTTGGAACGAATTTTGGGATCATCTCTTGGGCCAATACGACCATCATCAATGGCCTCAGGAAGACCTTCCTCCAAGGGTCGAGCTTCCATATACAGACGGTTATGCTTGTTGGGTGACTTGCTCATCACAGTACGACTAGACTTCTCCAGGACAGTCTCACGGAAAGACACAACAGGGTCAGATTTTATAATCTCAGCTCCACCCATGAAATCATCTTGTAGATCCTTCAAACAAATCTCAAGATGGAGTTCACCAGCACCAGCAATAATGTGCTCACCGGATTCCTCAATGGAACAGACAACCATAGGATCAGACTTGGCCAGACGTTTGAGACCTTCAACCAGTTTGGGAAGGTCAGAAGCCACCTTGCATTGAACAGCAACACGCACAACAGGTGAAACAGAGAACTTCATAGCACGAATGGGGTGAGCATCCACTTCCTTCTCGTTTGTCAATGTAGCATTCTTGGTGATAAACTGATCAAGACCCACCAAGGCAACAGTGTTACCACAAGGAACATCCTCAACAGTTTCTTGTTTCTTTCCCATCCAAATAACAGTCCTCTGCACGTTCTTAACATACAAATCCTTCTTCTCCCCAGGAACAAAATTTGGACCCATGATTCTAACCTTCAAACCTGTCTGGACTTTACCAGCAAAGACACGACCAAACGCAAAGAATCGACCCTTGTCAGATGCGGGAATCATCTTAGATACATAGAGCATAAGAGGCCCTTCGGGATCACAGTTCCTGATAGCATTTGCATATTGATCATCAAGGGGGCCCTCGTACAAGTTCTCAACACGGTATCTCTGGGCAGTTGAAGGAGAGGGAAGGTGAAAGATCATCATTTCCAATAGGGCACTGCTGGCTGGTAGCCAGGTCTGCATGACACGCTTCATCAACCCCTTCCCCATCAGCTCCTTTTCATCACTCTTCATCGTCACACCAAGCTTTGTCAACATGGGCCACAACTTGTCCTTCTGATCATTCATGCAGGTGTTGATAATCTGCTTGATGGGTTCATAACAGAACTGAACGAAACCACGCTTGCAGGTAGCAGAACCAGTGTTCTTGCTGGTCCATTTCTTGGTAGCTGGGTCAAAGTAGTTCTCACCCCAGAGCCTTTCCATCATCTTTGATTCATCAACTCCAAACTTGGACGCATACATCTTGGCAAAGTTGGTCAGAGTAAAAGCCCATCCATGCAAACCAGCTGAAAAGGCGACTGTTCCTTTCTCTGGATAGACCTGGACATCACCAAGAAGGGGGTCTTCGTATGTAGCCATAATGACATTAGCATTCTCAATAACCCTCTGGAATGTTTGGTAAGCTTCCTCTCCATCGACCTGGAGCTCAAGGAAGCACCTGTCCATCTTGTTAACAGTCAAAACAGGCCTGATCCTTTCTCCCAAGGCTTGACGAAGCACAGTCTCTGTTTGGACACAAACACCCTCAATGCAATCAACCACCACAAGTGCACCATCAGTAATACGAAGAGCAGCTGTGACTTCAGATGAAAAGTCAACGTGCCCAGGGGAATCAATGAGATTGATGAGGTACTCATTTCCATTTCTCTCCCCCTTGTAGCTCTTCAAAGCTTCATCAGTCATCTCATAGTAGAGAGAGATACCAGTAGATTTGATTGTGATACCACGCTCTGCCTCATCTGCACGGGTATCTGTCATCCGGACATCACCAGCAACTTCTTGTGCAATGATACCAGCAGCAGCAACGAGGGAGTCGGTAAGGGTTGACTTCCCTGAGAGGAGGAAAAATTTAACGTTATTACTTGATCATGCAACCACAGATACAACAAAACAAGAAACAAATAAATCAAATATGGTCCAAGCCTCGGTGGTCTTCAGTAAATTTTTTTATTTTTTACGAAGTTAACAATTGCATTAATATCCTACATATACATAAAAATTCAGCCACTCCCTTAGCTGCGCCTTGAAACCATAATTGATAATTATGATATTCAAGCTTGGGAACAGATACGATCATTTAAAGCCAGTATAAATGCTCTATACTTGTAAACAAAACATCATTTCAGATTGATACTTGGTAAGCCAAATAAGTAACATTATATATACCGTGATCAACATGCGCAATAACAGACATGTTACGAATGTTGTGTTTGTAGTCCATAATCCTACGGAGCTCCTCAGCTGTGAACTTCACCTGTACATATGAAAAATACAACTCAATTAAAATTAAGGAAATAAAGTAGTTTCTCAGCAACCCAGTCAACTAAAATGATGGAACAAGTTATTTACCATCTTGACTAGTCTTCAAATGTCACCTCCAAAAATATAATTAGTATCTGTCCACAAAAATAGTAAACCATCATAATTAGATAAATGAACAAGAACAAAGTAACAAGAGCCATAACAGTTACAAAATTCCCCACCAATTAAAGGAAATCTAAAAGCATAGTAAGAAAGTAATTTTGCAGGTATTTTGATACATACACATGTGTTTAGGCAAGTAAATATATAAGATACTTGTTTAAATCTGGTAAGTGTGTATGCATCCATATCCATACGATCTTCGTTTAAATTTGATATGGGTTATATGAAAAAAAGGAAGAAGCTCAAAATCTTTCTTTTTTTTCATCGAAAGAAGCTAACATAAAAATAATGAATAAAAAAGTCGGCTAAACAATCAGATTATACAAGCAGCAACTAAGCAAAAGAAAATTCAATCTAATCCATTTCAAATCATATAGTACAAAAGATTATACTACTTTAACAGTCTAATTACAGATCTTAAGCTAGAAAAATCGAAAAACAGGTACGCGAAATCATTTAATTGAACTAAGCAAGCAAGTTAATTACTTCAAAGCAAGCTTCAGCTTAGAAGCTTCAGATCTAAATATAGTAGAGAGAGAGAGAGAGAGAGAGAGAAAGAGCGAACCGGGTGACAAGCAGCGAGCGAGGCGGCAGGCGAAAGAAAATGGAGCTAGAATCTGAGACTTCTCCTTTATATACAAAAGGAGCTGAGAGAGAATAAAATAGTACGACCGAGGTATATGCGGTTGTGAAAAGAGGTCTTCGTTATCTAGGGTTTTGTAATAAACTGGGTTGGGCATTGCTTTGTAAATGGGCCAAAGGTCCAGTCTGGATTGTTAAAAACCAATGTCCAATGAACTTCGTCTTGAGATTGAAAATGATCTTGAAATTTTCAACTTGTCAAGGCCAACACAAAGTTAATAAAATAAACTCAACTTAAATGATTGATTTAATCTTTTTTCAATGGAGGTAAACACAGCAAAAACTTTATAACTAAATTTTTTTAAAAAAAGGGGGAAGGTTCACATTCAAACGTAATCAACGAGTAATTTTTAGGTGTAATAGTAACATTGCGCAACAGACTTACATAATGTTAAAAGTTCATTCAAATTATAATACGATGGTAGATCTAAACCTAATACATGTTATAATTTGTGTCAACTTATAACACTGCATTGACATGCTACATGGCGTTATACTCATTTAAATCTTGCAGGGACAGAACTGTGAGCCCACTAGTAATTTGTCTTCAATGGAAGAGTGAGAAATTAGATATTTTTTTTTTTTTTTTTTTCTCTCTTTGTTATTTATTGTTTTGTTTTTTTTCACAATTTCAAGATTTCTTGTTCTTTTTTTGACTGAATGCATTTTTCCCACTTTAGTTTATGTGCTATGTTGCTGGTTAAGGTTTCAATGTTCATTTCTTAATCTGGTTGTGTTGCTGGTGATAAATGGAGTGACCATTTATTGTGAATGGGTGAAGTACTACTAAAAGATGAGATAAATAAAATAAAATAAATAAATAAAGGTCTTCTGATGGTCTTTTTTGTGCATCAGTACCCTAGCGCAACTGTCACAATTTGCAAAACAAATGAACCGAAGAAAGGGGGAAAACTGCAATTTCCAGTAGCTAATGGAGACAAGGGCTACGTGCTCAAGCATCATGGTCATACCATGTAGAAACAACTATTTTGCCTTCTTTGCAAGGTTAGAGGTTTTCAACCTCTTCATTTGGTTCGAGGTTAAGAACTCGGCATCATCTCTGATGAAACTCCACCAAACGTAAGTTAGGGGAATAGTGGTGGCGTGCCAGGCCGCATGAGCATCCACAAACCCTTGATATGGTGGGAAATCATAAATTTCTAGGAGCATTGCAAGGCCACCTGCCACTACTACCAGCCACAGCTTCCAACGTGATGGATGGCGAGTGACACCAGCCCAAATCGCCCAAAGAAGAAGTTGTACTACTGCCATGACAACACAAACTTGCATGTTCCACCCTGCAATGTGTTGATTAATTAAGTCAGATTGTTATCATGAAAACTAGGAAATTATGTCACAGAAAGAGAGAAGACAACTCATCAGTTGTCCAAATAAAGGAAATTACGCATTTCCTAACACTTCAACTTTCTCGGATAATCAGTGATCTATAGTGAAATCAAAGCAAGATATTTCATGTCCAATATAAAGACTTTCCATCTAATATAAAAAATTAATTCACGGGCATGGTCAGTTTGTGTGTTGAAAAATAGATATCATCCAGCACTTGTCACTTCCTACTAGCAGACATTGTTGGAATAACAGGTAGTGTTGCACCTATGTGATCCAAGGTCACTGCTATTCAAGTAAAGAAACTATACATAGGTCACTGCTCTCTCTCTCCAACTACATATGTTAATGAAAAAGAAAAAAAAATTAGTACAAGGGTCATACCGTAATCCAGTTTGTAAAAGTTGAGATACAATATGTGGGTGGTTACAAAAGCCAGCAGTGGAGCAGCAACCATCACTCTGACAGCATCATCCTTCACATCAAAACTTCTTAGTATAGACAGAATGAGCGAGTACCCAAGTATTGCCACTGCAGATGAGTAGTCTAATTTCTCTGTCAAATCCACGTCCCTGCAGTCCAGTAAGACACATTAACGATCAAGAAATGTGCCAAGTGACCAAGCTCCACTCCCCTCCCCCAACCCAAAAAAAAAAACACAAAACGAAGTTAACTAAGAAAGCATCACTGCTTTCCAGGTTTTTTCCCCCCTGTTGGGCGGGTGGAAAAGTGTGGAGGAGGGCTAGGTAAGTACTTTTAAAATCACCAGATGAGGTTTTTCAATGTATAAGCAAAACCTATGAATTGTTGGTATTTCATCCATAACTTGTTTCAAGAAAGATTTACGGCAAGTTAAAATATCACATAAAAAGAACAATAATAACTTAATTTACAAACTATAGATTCTTTAATTAACGTAAAGTGACACTCACAATTATATTTACAACTCACTCAAGAATGATGAAATATCCAAGTCCCAATAAAACTTCTTTTTCTGTGTCTTGCCATCTGGCTGGCACAAGTTAGTCTAGACTAAAAGTGACCTGTTCTGAAGCTTCTATAGGTATTAGAACATAATGAACAGTACCATGCCCTTCAAACATTGAAGTTTTAGTGCCAATGACCCAACTAAACCTTTGACCTAGAATGAGAGTCTGAAAGCATAGTAAAAGCACACATATTCTTGCAATGTACTTCATATAAATAAGATAAAACCTTAATAAAAACCGAAAACAGAGTGCAGATATTCATTCCCACATCAGAAAAAAATACAGAAGGAAAGAGCAAAGCTTACCTACTATGGAACACAGCACTCCAGAACCAGGAGTTAAATGATAAGAGAGCATAGATGTGCCACAAACTGGCAAAGTAATAGTATGTCTTCTTATCCCGTCTCAAAGGCAACTTATAGTATAAAAGGATGAAAAAGGATATCCAACCGTGGAAATGCATTGCAAGGTTGAGCACTGAGAAAGCTACAGAAGCAGGCTCCTAAATAAATGGATAACATGTCAAATAGCACAAACCATGATAACATTAAAGCTATTGTCAAAGAAAATGCGGCCAAGGCATATAGCCTGCCAAAAAAAGCAAACCTGGATCCCGTAAACACGCTTGAAGGGCCATTTACCATGATATTTGACTGGATCATGACCAGTTGCTTCTCTTTCGTTCTCTCTGTCAAGCATACAATAGTAACGGCAATCACTTTGGCAATCCCATTGTTTCCACTGCATATAAAGAGGTTCTTGCATGTACCACGGACTATCAACGGAGACCCCGTCAGAAGAGAAATTGCACTGTGGAAAGCATCTCTGCGCTACACATCCGGTTTCTCCACATTGTTTTACACAAGCCCTAATGTTAAATATACATGACAGGTTACAAGTGTAGGCAAAATGACCAAAATTAATTCATTTTACAACATGGACCAAAATGTTGATTCCACCAAATAAATAATAAGAATCTGCACTCGAGGAACTTATACAACTTAGCCATGAACAAATTATTACAGATTACTTTCAAGAGAGGTACTTATCAAAAAGCAACTTCAAGAGAGGAATTTTAAGAATTTACATAGTTCCAGATAGATAGCAGTTGCAATGGGAAATTCCTCTATTTTAACATTAAAAGACAGGGCTGATAGATGAACTTTTTAACAAAAACACCATACCACACATGGTTATTGATTCATAGGTGACACAAATGAAGAAAGCCTGTTCACGTAACAAAAATTAATTGTTAACATTTGTTAGCTAGCCAGCTGACAAGGAGACGCGAGATAAAGATTTATTCCATAAGATAAAAGCTTGCTATGTTTGTACATTTCTTAATGAACAAATAATTGCTTGATTCGTTTTTGTTTGTGAATAAAGGTTGTGAGCTAACTCTATATAAATGGCATGTTCATCTGTGTATTCCATTTGGGTGATTGATCACCCTAAGTGAGGCTTGTGCAGCCTCATTGAAAGGTTATTGTGATTGATTTATAGTAAATACAAATTCAAAAAAAAATTAGAGATTTCCTTACAAGGATGCTCTTAAATGCTTGAGATGTCATAACCCTGTTTCCATTAATTTTTCAGACCACTAAGGTTTTACAACATAATTATGTAGAATGCGCTTTGTCAGAATGTAGAGCACAGATTACAAAGATATAAATACCTACGGTATAAAACCCAATAATTGTTATAATGCTTTTTATTTGACATGAAAAGAACATTTAGGTGAGTTCTGCAATCACATATAAGCTCCATGCCTACTTGCTATGGTTATTGAAGACCAGAATTTGGAAGGAAAGTTCAGATACAACTTTTCCCATTTAGAAACTCGGTAGGTTCCTATTTTAATTTGTTTACAAACATGTACCCCGTATGTAACTATAAGACCAAAAACAAAAATATTGTAATTCGAGCAACCCCAAGTGCATGCAGTCAAGGACCTATGGATCTGATGGCATGTACCCTGTCCCTAAGGATGGGGTGGTTTAAGATCCCTAAAGCTTGGGTAATAATAGGGAGGGGAAATGCCATTGTAGCAATAGAAATAGAAATGAAAAAAGAATTGCAAGCGTGTCGACAGACCCATAAGAATTATGTCACACAAAGGATTGGTAAGTTAGTTTGATGAACAGCTTTTTCAAGCAAAGAATCCTCATTGTGTATTAATTCTTCCACCAAATTATTGATTAGTGAGTGACCATCTAGAATTGCAAGCACAAAAATTCAATGGAAAAGAATGCTCTCTATATCGAACTTCAAATGAGGAGCGCTAGTTGCTAGTGAATGGGGAGCATGTGGGCCCCACACTCTTGAGTGGTGTGGATGACAACCGCCCCTTTCCATTTGAACTTCAAGTGAAGAGGAGCAAGATAGCCCTTCAGCTGAAATTTCAGTCCTTTGGCTGACTCAGGGCAAGAAAGCCGAAGTAGGCTACAGAAAACCTCAGTAAGAGGTGAAAATATATAGTCTTTTAAGCAAAACAATGAGGAATTATTACAAAAACCTCAAAAACAATACATGTAGCTGTGGCAAAAGAGCACAAAGAAAGCTAGAGAAATAGCAGTACAAAACCCATAAAAAGCTATAGGAAAATATCTAAAAAGAAAAAAAAAACACTTACCTATAAAGTGGATCAGCATCACCAGCACTGGCATCTAAAACTCTGAAGTTGACGACCCATGAAACCACCACAAAGAAAGCGACCCAATAGTGCTTTAACATCTGAACATAAAATCACAGATTGGTTAAGCGTCTAAAGCTCTCAACTTTGACCATTGCAAGATCTTGACTTCTCCATTGCATATCAATACATCATCAGTTATCTTTTCTAATATTACAAAAACCAATCTGGGCAAGAATTGCCATGTAATTTGTTTAAAAGCCCAGAATCATTTTCTGGGTTCTTAAAAAAAGCTTTGCTTCAATACTTCATTTGTGGTCACTTCTACTAAATACATATTTTCTTTCAAATAAAAATCATCATATACAAGTTTTACTGGAATGGAACGACATCGTTTTAGATCCGGCAAAGGAAACTCACCGGAGCACCAGACCCACGCGACCTCCTTCTTCCGTCTCTCTCTTTCTTCTTCCTCTTCACATCAACATTGACAGTCTGGTCCACTCCGTGCCTAGTTCAATTCTTCAACAATTGCTGCTCGTATGCAATTCTTCAATTCTTCCTCATTACTTTTTGGGTCAGTGGGTCTTCGGGTGTGGATTGGTAAATGGTAATGGGTTGAAAATGGAACTCCATTTGGGCTTGAAACTCGTTGGATTTTGAACAAGTGAGCCCAAAGCCTTGACAAAACAACCCTTGTGTTTTTGCCACTCTTTTTTGTTCATTCGGTTCCGAAACAAAACATATGATTTCGAAAATGGAGTGCGAGCTTAAGATGGATTTTCAATTGGTTTTGGGTCTAAAGCTGCTAAGTGTGTCCACTTCGCAATAGTCATTGAATCAAACTTATCTGGAATCAATTGAAATTTCAAATATATACTAGGTAATCGCTTAAAAGACACTGAGTTCTATCAATCCCCTTTGTGTTTTATTGGTATGGAAGATGATGTCTATTGTAGTATTAGGGACTTTTATGAGTTCGTGCTTTCTTTAAGGGTTCCCTATTGTTAATATGACACAAAAAATGGTTTTACGTGCCTAATTGTTAGGATGGGTCTCACATTTTCCTATTATATCATCATATAGTGATTTTAGCATTGTTTCTTATCATTCGTGCCTAATGGTAGATTATGTACTTTATTATATGACGTTGTTGTTATACCTTCCTTTAAAATACTGGTAATAATGACAATAGAGACGATTTTATGTCGCTTTATGTTTCTTGAGATGGAACCCATATAGCACCTCCTCATTAGATAATATTAGATAGTACATGTAAATAGATAGTTGAAACAATTTGAATAAATAAATTGAAAAAAATCGAACGTTATGTGTGTATATTTAAATCACAAAGCAATTTGAAGAGAGTAATTATTCTTTTTGTGCTCCAAGGGAAACTCGATAGGCGAAAATTGAAAAATATTAATGAGAGTAACTTCTGATCATATTTATATATGTGATGATCTTAATCCAACGAATCCTATACAACTGATATTTCACATTCTTGTTCTTGAATTTTTTTTAGTTTCAAATGTCAATTCTCAATAAGGAGGAGATGGGAGCCGTAGAACCCTAGCTAAACAAACCGTTAAAGTAGGATAATCATCTGCTCTCCATGCATTTATGTGATATGTTTTGTTTTTGTTTTTCATAAAAAAGTTCCCACAAATTATATTATAGAGTCTAGCAATTTCAGTGCAACACTCATTTACTCACCAAGTTTTTTGTTTTACTTTTGCTTAAGAATTGAGGGTTTGAAGCAGCCCTTGTTTTTTTTTAAAAAAAAAAAAAAAAAAAAGGTATAGTCTAAAACCATACGAGGGGGAATTTTCACACATACGTATACAACTATGATGTCGATGGATTCAAACCTGAGACCTTTAATCTGCAAATCAAGACATTTTTCTACTAGGCGAAATCCCATTGGCTTGAGGAAGTCCTTGTTAATGTTTATAATGTGTAGTAATTATGCATGTGTTCTAGTTTAATTCCTCAGAGTCTTCATATAAAATAATTCAAGAGCAAGAATAATTTTTGGGTGTTCCAGGTACACCACGTGACTAGTGTACTATCCAATAGACGTAACACATATGGAATATTTGCAATGCAGCCCGTCACATATTATAAAAAGAAATATAGTAAGTTAGACAATAATTCCACATGTCTTATGTTTATTAGATGATACATTAGCCACGTGATGTACCCGGAATATATAAAAATTTCTTTTGACTTGAGCCTCAGATTGAGTTCTTGCACGTTTATGTATGTAACCAATAATTAATATAAAAAAATATATAAAAGGGTTTTCCAAATGTCGAAGCTTCAAGCGACATGAACAACCGCTCTTTTAATTTGCAGCCGCCCCCCTGACGACCTTCAACATTTTCTCGAAAGCCCTCAGATTGCATGTGCACTAGATTCTATACAGAGAAATTAATTCATACAATATTAGAATACATCCAAATTTTATAAACAAGGCAACAAGATAAAATTAAATATATCAGTTTGTCAAAACATGAACTCCTACACTCTAGCACTTCCCCACTGCAACATTAATTATTCCATTTACACCAGAAACGTTGGATCAAAAGCAAGATGGACGGCGGCGGATCTTAGCTCATCCCAGTTCTCATTCAAAAGCTCATTCTCAAGATCTTGATACGAAAAGTTTGAGAAAGTCTCCATGTACTGATATGTAGCAGGCATGTTGGAGCTCAACTGGCCTACTGCATCTAGCTGCTGGTTGCTTCCATTGAAGTTGTTCATGTTGGTATGGTTCAGAACAGGCTTCTTCTCTTCGTAGCAAATAATATTGTCTGAAGCACCAAAACTGATGTACTTGTTAGACTGATCTAGGTCATCTTGATCACTTGTGCATTTCTTGGAGCTCACTGTGTCCATTGGATGGCGTTTAGCTCCGGATAGCCCTCTCCAATCTGCTGTATATTTTTTGTACGAGACATTTCTCTTGAATATCCGGCACAATGTCCATATTTCCTGAAACAAGTGAACCATTGCATCCATCAGAACATAAGCCTTTATATATGGTCAAATGGGAAAGGAAATTTTTATTTAGCTAGTGTAGGTCATGGATTATTATGAGTTTACTTTGACATCATGACTGGTTTATGGTTAAGGTTAATTTCAGCCTGGCTAGCTCTAGTACTTTCTTGATAAATTATGAAAAGTACTAATGTGAGATGCAAAATGCATAAGAAACGGTTTTTTTTTTAATGCCTGACTTATATTGTCGGACAAATTTTTTATGTTGTCAGATTATGAATTTGGAACTACGTATTCAGGCAGAATAAAAAATGAACAATAATTCAGAGATTCACAGGCTGGCAAGCATCTTATGTTATCAGACAGTGACATTTCGCACATGAACAAAATTGTAATTAATTTGTAAAATAAAAGGGTAGATGGAAACTAGGATGCAGATTTTTCACTTACAGCTTCTTGTTGAGGATCAGTACTATTGATGTTCTTGGTGTTGGAGCTGCGGTGAATGTATTCATTAGAACTGGCCTGATTGGGAAGGCGAAACTCGTGCATCATCCAATCGGTTTTGGTGCCTTTGCCTGCACTTCCACGGTAGTAAACCAATGTTTTCTTGAGGCCAATGCAGGCATGGCCTTGTCCTCCATGGGAATGTATCGGCTTGTCAATCCCAGTTGCCTTCCAAAATCCCGACCCTGTAACTCTGTTGGGTCTGATGCTGTTCTTGTACTTTCTCCCTCTTTTGCAGAAGAAGTACCATTCCTTCTCTCCTGCTGTACTTATAGCTTCTGCGCATACACACATAATATTGAAGTTAATCACAAATTAATTAACCCATATGTTTGTAAGAACAAGATCTATAGTTGGAGCTAGCTGCGGCACTTATAGTAGAGCTAGGTTTATAGCAATACATGGAAAAACTAAAGGGGTTACAGAAATCGTTTGCTGATCATATATTTTATATACTAAAGTAATTTTTCGTGATAGTATAAACTATATATAGTAGTTAAATTAGAAATAAAGAAGTAGCTAGTACTGGGAACCAGTGCAACCAATATATATTCTAGGCCACCTTTTGCTCAGTATCCTTTGAGTTTTTGAAGCAATTTAACCCTAGCTATCTTCTTGTCTTCTTCTTCTTCCAATTAAGGATATACCAGAGAATAAAAAAGAGGGAAAGTAAAAATTCATTACAGGGACATATATATATATGTATGCATACTTGGAAGATCCCAAGGATCATGCTTGTAGATGTCAATGGACTTGATGAGCTCTATGCTGATTGCTTTCTTCTCAACCTTTCCGGTGAAGATAGAACTCCACAAGTTCTTCATCTGTCGGGTGAAACCGAAATCCTGGAAGTTGAACATCATCTTCATCAATATATTGATGATCATCCTTAGTGCTAGTGTAGTTGCTGTCCATGATTTTGAGATCTTCTTCCAACTCTAGCTTAGCTCCTCAATCAATTTTGTTGTGCTCTGTTATGTAACCTCAGTGCAGAAGCGATGGTCTATAGCAGTTTTGAAATATGGATGCAAGTGCAAGAGAAGGTTCGATAATTAAGCTGAAGGGTCATAGGCCTTTGTGCTATTTATAAGGTGAAGAAAGTCATAAAAACGTAGTTTTATTAGGTCAAGTCATAAAGGTTGACTCTGGCAGGCCAGAAGTCTTGAACCATTTTTGGTTCTATGTCGCCGTTTAAGACTTTATCTTGCTATACTAGTTGTAAGATGTGCAGTCTCAGCCAGTGCCATATGTGTATAATGTATCCACTCCCTTCAACTCATTTAGGAATTTCAAGGCATCATAACAAGGCCAGATACAACTAGAGGAGAAACGTTAAACATTTATAGGTTTTTTTTTTTTTTTTTTTTTTTTTTTTTGAGGGGGGGGGGTGGGTTGGGGGGGGGGGTTTTTTAAGATAAATCGATTAAGAGGAAAAAAATAAAAAAATTTTTATGTATGGAACAATGAATACTCCATCAGTGCCAAAACCCAAAAGATTAACGAGCACACTCTTACACTTTGATCATCGGAGACAAATCAACTATATCCTTCTCGCAAAAACCACGATTAGGGTTGAAATAGAGAGCCCATGATAAAGTACCCCCATCCCATGCATGCCTTAAAACCAAAAACACAAAATTTTGTACCTATAAACAAAAAATAATGTTGCGACATGCATCAATCCATATATTACGTTGATAAGTACAAAATTTTTTTAAAGTAAAACTTACATACACCAACTTGTACAATCGTTTGTATGATTATAGCACTCATACGCGGCGTGTTAAATTTTTAGTCATTTTAAAAGAGTACAATTAGACCCATTTTTTTTATGGCATAAGTTTCAACAAATATTTCATTCTTGAAAGCGATGTGAATGAAAATATAATCCACAAATATGATACAAATATTAATTGTCATATAATATCAATTACCTTGCACAAAGGCCACACAACAGTTTGTGGGTCATTGATTTGTGCAAAGAAGTTTTGTGTGGTAGAAGAGGTAAGGACCCAAGAACATATCACATTATCGGTCCCCATAAAGGCTTCCTTTATGTATAAACAAATCAATTATATTCGATGGCACCGAGGGATTTGAATTACATCTGCATATGAAAATTATGCAGTTCTATATCATTGCGACACACAGTATTATCTAGGTTAATGTGGGTCCATGGTTTGCATGGCTTTCCAAATTTTTTTTTATTTTTTATGAAGTATATATTTTTGCTTCAAATTTATGTGTGCAAAAGCGTGTATTAGTTATTATGGGTGGAAGAGATCGCAAGGCAAAAACAAGAACCACACTCAGGGCAGATTAGAAGGGGGGAGAAGTGAAAATGTGGGAGAAATAATAATGGATCAATTGTTCAATGTTCAATGGTCTTCAATTGTAGAACATAAGTTCAGGTTTGAATCCCATGACTTTTTTTTTTTTTTTTTTTTTTTTTTTTTTTTTTTTTTTTTTTTTTTTTTTTTTTTTTTTTTTTTTTTTTTTTTTTTTTTTTTTTTTTTTTTTTTTTTTTTTTTTTTTTTTTTTTTTTTTTTTTTTTTTTTTTTTTTTTTTTTTTTTTTTTTTTTTTTTTTTTTTTTTTTTTTTTTTTTTTTTTTTTTTTTTTTTTTTTTTTTTTTTTTTTTTTTTTTTTTTTTTTTTTTTTTTTTTTTTTTTTTTTTTTTTTTTTTTTTTTTTTTTTTTTTTTTTTTTTTTTTTTTTTTTTTTTTTTTTTTTTTTTTTTTTTTTTTTTTTTTTTTTTTTTTTTTTTTTTTTTTTTTTTTTTTTTTTTTTTTTTTTTTTTTTTTTTTTTTTTTTTTTTAAAAAGTAGCTGAAAAGACTCAATTTCTTTCCTGTTGCCTTGTCATAGACTTTAAATTCATTAGGAAAATCTACCTAATTAATATTGAATAGAAAACACATATATGAGTTTAGCCAAGTTGACTAGAATGGATGTGTGCTTCCCACTTTGCATCTGAGTTCGAAATCCCCTCCCCGTAATTTAGATTAAACTAATTAGAATATTATTTGTATAAAAAAATTTGAATAAATAACAAAACAAAACAAAACAAAGAAAAAGAAAAAAAGAGTTCCAAAGGAGTTGGCCCTCTCTTCCTTCCCTTGTTTGACTTCCCTGCCTTTAGATGCCGGGGCCAAAGCATTCATCACTTCAAGTCAACCCATCAAATCTCTGTAACTAATCCCTACCCTACCCTACCCTTCCTTTCTTTTTTTCTTTGGTTTTTTTAGAATAATATATCCAAGCATGGGACATGTGTGCAAGCAGTTGTGGGGGGTTACTGATAGTTGCAGCATGCCCCAGACTTCATGGGCGAGTTTTTAGGCGTGGAAAACTCCCACTAAGTATGCAGACATGCTAGGGAGGTGTCAGCAAGGCCATGAGAAGTTATTTGAGCAAGTTGCATGCATGAGATGGCAAAGTATGGTGCTGCCAGCAAATCCTAACGGTTGGGGGTGACAACTTTGTGTTTGTTTACTTGATAGTGCAAGTTTTTTGAGTGTGTGAGAGTTGTCACTTGTTCCTCTGCGTAAAAGAGAGCCAGTATGAAGAGGTTTGTGTGGGATGATCTTAGAAGCGGTCTAAGAGCCGAGTAAGGCAGAAAAATTAAAGACGTTTTTCACCCTTGTTACTGCAGGTTAACAAATTATTTGGGTGGGTTGAAATCCATTTCACAACTTGTTTAACAAATTATTATACATTTCACATGTTTAAGAGGAGACATAATTCAAAATCGAGATGAGAATTAAAATGATGAGGAGATCGACTTTAGCTAAGGGTATTTATTTGAGTGGGTTGAAATTCATTTCACAACTTGTTTAACAAATTATTATACATTTCACATGTTTAGGAGGATACATAATTCAAAATCGAGATGAGAATTAGAATGATGAGGAGATCGACTTTGGCTAAGGGTTTTTATTTGGGTGGGTTGAAATTCACAACCCTAAGGTGCATGATAGAATAGAACAGAATATGTCAATATATGCGGCCACATATTTATTATTAATAATAAAAATTGAAAATTAAATAGTAAACGTTTCTAGTAGGTCATTTCACGGGTTGACAGGTTGATCATAAACCCACTGTTAATTAGACGTGTCATGGCAGGTTGACTCGAATTAGACGTGTATAAGGTCGTATCGGAAATTGGCACATGTACCTATAATTAGACTATCGTTTGTACTATAAATAAAAAAAATTATTTGCCACGAGGATGAGATGAAAGAACCAAAATATTTTGGAAAAAAAGGATGAGATAAAAACTTGGAACCACAAGAATGTGGACAATTATTTTCGGGGCACTCATGATTTAAATCAATGTTAATAATAATAATTGAAAAACTATGTCGTCAAGTATGTGATCTCACTTTCCATGCATCAGAATGCATCTTAATCATCTTTTACGGCGGTGCTGGGCAAGTTGACCTAAACGCCAGGCCATCATGATTTTGTATTTTCTTCTTGTTAGCTTCCAGATCGATGATAATATATTATATATTATATATATATATATGACTAACACATCCAAAGGTGAATGACTAGAAGCCTTATATAGTGAACGTGATGATCATAATTCATTTTGAGATTTGGTGGGGAATATTATCATGATAATAAGACCACTACTAAAAGCTCTAACTAGGTGAAGTTGATAGTTATAAGAAAGTGGTTGAGGCCGCAATCAATATAGGCCTTGCAAAATGTACTAGCTAGTCCTAGCTAGTATTCTAACTTTCTTCGTCAATATTATACCAAAGGGATTTCATAGTTTTATAATATATATATATATATATATATGTGGCATGCATGCATCTCGATGAAATTTCTCATGTGCGGACGACTGTTTGTAACACAATTTTTATTATACGAAATTCTTTAATTATTAGAAAATTTCACGTATGAATGACTGTGTCTGTAACATATCTCTTAAAATGTATGTACACGTGGTAAAGTATTGTTTTGTCAGACACTTGTGGCAACAAAAACTGTTTTTTTCACTGGACTTTAAATTTGATCCATTAATCAAGTAACTTGTTTTCAAATGTGTGTATAGCAAGGTAAGATTACCAACAACATATATTTTGTTGGCTGACAGTACCATCACTATGGGAGCTGTAGTGCATGCCCCTTACGCGAGTTTGATTACTTCGAGCTAAACCTATCTAGTCATTTCTTGAGTTCTTTATTGTCTGGAATTTGGCTTTTTATCCATTGTTAAAAAAAAATAAAAATTCCAGATTAATCAAACTGCAAGTCATCATCCCATCGGATTCTCTTTTCAATTGATTAACATGGTGAGATCCACAGCACCACACGAAAGTTGAATTCATATGTCATTTCATTAGAAGCCTGTTGGAGTGTGTCGGGCATACATACCGAAGAATCATTTTAGATAAATGGTGAAGGATAAAAAGAAACCTTAATTATTCTTTGATCAAATCACAAACCCTCCTAATTACAAACACCCTAGCTACGTAGAAACGCAAGGTTCTCTCATCGCAGCATTACCAAGCTTCTCCAAGCCACCACTATCTATGTGGTAGCTTGTATGTAAGCGGTAAATTAATGATGAAAATCATCTTAATTTGTACCACGGAAGAGTATCTAGAAGAACTGATCTAGTTAAAACCAATGGACCAATTAATTTTACAAGTACAAAAGACTAATTAGCTAGCTTGTTATATCATAATTTTACAATACAAGCGCGCCGTACGTACGTCTTACAACCATCTCAATTAGACTATATAATATAGTTAATTAAGCAGCTAATTAAACTGCACCATATGATCAGCTGGTGGCATAAGGTAAGTACATTAGACCCATAGCCTCTTGCAGCCAGTAGTCGTCCTC